AACTCCGCGTTAACGAGGCACGCCGCTATATATGTGGTACGAGCGATAATAAATTCTCGCGCTTTAGTAACGAGCTCGTCGCGTTTTTCTGTAGAAGAAAAATGTGCGACGTCAACGTGAATTGCGCGCGGACACACAAGGCGAATCGAGGCGAATAGAAAGGAAGATTGAGAGAGAGGGAGTCAAGCCGGGCCCGTTGTCTGTCAATATTCCTCCGAGTACTTGACTTGCATGCGAGTCGCGCGCATAGATAAAACGCGCGGCACGTCCGCGGCGTATCTGTCGCGCGAGCGGCTTTTGTCGCTTAACAAGAGCGCAGGCGGCGTAGAAACGACGACGGCCGGCGACGGGAATTACGTGAATTCACTCGCGATCGCGCGCAATGGCGAGCTTCTGCGATATGTTCGCATTCTCGAACGTCTTTTTTTCCGAGACGCGGAAAATAACGTTCGCGACATTCGATATACGAGAGAGAGAGAAAGAGAGAGGATTCGTTTAATCCCTTTAGCACCGAAACGCTCTTTCGGCATTATCGATATAACCGGAGACGCGAGATGCGTGAGTCAGCGCGGCGTAATTTTATTATACGGATACTTTGAAATTTAATACGACGTAAGTTTCACGCGCGCGAACGGATGAGAGAGAAAGAGAGAGAGAGAGAGAGAGAGAGAGAGAGAGAGAGAGAGAGAGAGAGAGAGAATTGAAAGACCGGATTTCGTTTCATCGTGAGAAACCCGCGTGAAAAAAAATGTCGCGTAAAGCTTGTTTTCAAGTTAATACTGTTAAATCCGCGTCCCTTTTCCATTGCGTTAAATCACATGAAAAAAAAAAAAAGTATCACTCCGATATGATCGCGTGTGTGTTGTCTGCTGTTACCACACGGATAAAAAGTAGACGTGTATCGACTTAAAGAGGTCACCTGCACGCGCGCGCGCGCGCGCGGATGGATCGGTTCGTAGATGGAAGAAGAACGACCGGTATTTCCGAAACCGGTTGATCGCGATAGCGTCGATGGGAGGCGGCGAAGATCGGTAAACAAGAGAACCGGCTGGTCTTTCTGGTCGGATGGGTTTTATCGCGACGACGTCCCAATACATTCGTTCGCGACACCCTGTGTGACTATACGTGTGTGCACACGGTGTGTAACACGATACGTGTAATGCATTACACGCGCGCACGTTGTCGAAGCGCGATTACGTCGGTATACAATATGCGCGTGCACGCGTGCGTGCGTGCGTGTGCGTGAGCCATTGGCGTAACGTCCGTCGTTTCCTGAGCAGCCAGCGCGCGCGCGCTTCGTAATATCAATCATAAAAGATAACGACGCGTCCCCCGACGATTCGTGTGAAGCGCCGCCGCGTACGTACCTTATTATAACGACGGAAAATAAGAGCAGCGAAGGACGGAGGATTAATAAGCCGGTAGAACGGTATCGGGAGCATACGGGCGAACAGGCTGGGGACTTGGGATTAAAGCAAAAACATCGCGTCCAAAGAAAATTGTAGCAGATACACGAGAAGTAACTACTTCCTGGCAATCATCAGGAGAGTTGATAGAAACGATTAAAAAAAAAAAAAAACAAAAAAAAAATTATTGGCTGAAAGTAAATGAGAAAAGATTCGAGATAAAAAAATTGTGTACTATTCGTGATAGTTTTGATTTATTCGTCTCTTATATTTAGAGACTTGTATTATATAAAAGTTTTTTTATTGGCAAATGTGTGTCTCTCTTATTCGTGTATGTAACGATACACGTACGTACGATAAATTAATCTCTATCTATTACATAACTCGATCGCTTCGTAACGTCAGCCAACTAATCGCGTGCGATCTCAATTATTATTATCTTCTCTTATTATCTCTTTTTGTGCTTATGTTCGTATCACTTTGTCGCGCTTCGGTTTTCGTGTACGATTTTCTTAACTGAAATGTGCGCGCGCAATTTGTTTCCCAAGTGGCTTGTTATCGGCTCCGAACGCCGAGATAATCCGGTTTTATCCGTATCTCGCGTTGCTTATTACATAGTTACGCGAAGAGAGATCTCGTTATCGCTACGCTTTTGCGCACATTCGCGCCTGTTTCTCGCATCAGTGACATACTTTTCGGAAGCGTTCGAAAACGGAGAAATTTAACAACACAATTTAACAATGTTTCGAGTTTCTCGCGTTATTTTTTGTTGTGGTTTACCAATTTTTCTATATTGTTACCAAGTAACAATGTAGAATAGTTTTTTGCAATAATAAATTACAACAAACATTTTTTGCAATAAATGTTGCACGTTCGCGATGTAAATACGCCATTGGTCGCGTGCGCGCGCGTATTCGCACGCAAATACACGCGTGTGTGCACGCCTGCATACAGCGCGCAAGGTTTCTTGTGTAGCCATTAATTAGATTAGCATATGCCGGAAAAAGATGCTGTCCGCACGTAATGCGTCCGCCTATATCCGCCGGCGGCGAAGACGCCATTACCTCGACGATACCTTAATGGCATTACGGAATATCATCCGTTGTCGTCGCTTGTAACGTTTCTGGGTTGTCTCTTTTTTTTTTTTTTTTTTTTAATATTTATATCTTCTCGCGCGAGACATGCAGGTAAAAATAAAGTCGACTGACGTGACGACCAAGTACGATGAATTATTTTTTGCTTTGCGGATGCGCTCTCGTGATATCGAATTTCTGTCCGCAACATGATTACACACTTCGCGCGCTTGTCTCTATACATACATATATATACGCGCGTTGCAAAAAAAAAAAAATCTACACAAATAAGATTACGATGAATCGCAAGAATAGTTTTTGCTTTACATAACCTTTGACTGTAAGAGATTGCGTTAAACAATTTTTTACCATCCGTTTTACTCTACTCGGAAATGTCAGCGGAATTGGAAAAATGTTTGAAAAATGTTTAAAAATACTTCGATTAATATAATAAAGTTTTGAACAAATAGATATTTATGGTTTGTCCACTTTGACAATATTCAGAAACAAGTGACGTGTTCTGGTATTTTGAAGTAGAAGATATCTTTTTCTATTCTCAGACACACACATATATATGTCGGTACACATATATGAGCTTTTTTTTTTTTTTTTACATAAGAGCTTTTCTCCTCGCGAATGCGCGATCAAGCGAGCGCGCGTATGCGAGATGCACATACATAAGCGAGTATATAATGTTTATGTGTGTCCGCCGGAATGCAACGGCCTAGGTGAAATGCCTGGCCCCGTGCCAGAGACTTTAACCTCAATTTGCAATAAAACACACACGCGACTATATACGACGGAGAGGAGGTGGATTCTTCCGCCTGGACGCGCGCGCGACGCGTCTCTCGCAGCCTCCTCCGCTTCCTTTTCTGTCGTGAAAATACAAAGGGAAGGGAAGGGATCTCGGTTCAGAGACACATCGCGAAATACACCGTCGCGAATAAATTTTTTCATAACACACACACACAGTTTGATAAATTCGTCGTGATTCTCTGGGAATTTTTTTTATCGGCGAGAGATCAGTCACTTGCATCGGTGGAAAAAATTACACCGCGTCAAATTATTTTGAAGAAAAATGAAGGTGTGTAAAAAAATTCCGGTAATTTAAGAGCGAAACACTTCTGGACCCCCAACTTTTTACTCTTTGCGGAAGTCTAAGGATCTTGAGAAAAATGCTCGGAACATCTCGGCGTCGGATTCTTGCGATTTAGTACCTCTGCCTCTTTGTCTCTTATGTGTGTCACGTACTCTTCATTACGTTCTTCCTTAATTAATCTTCCAAAGTTACACAACACGCTACGCTTTAATGCGGATTTTATGTCGGCTGTTAATTTTCGGTAATTCGATCGGTCGATGCGCCAGTTTCGTCGGAAAACTTAAATCGTTGCTTTCGGAACACCGCGTGTGTACGTTCGCTCGCATTTATCTCGAGGCGCGTCCGTTTATCACCGCGGGTAATAAATGCGGCAGTTAAACAGAGAACGGGTAAACCTGCTTTCTCTCATCCTTCTCGATCCTTCCGCGCGCAGTGTTTCTTGTGCACCCAGTGGCTTTTACGAGCGTCAACAAAGGGCCGGGACTGACGTTACGATTATCTGACTGCGGGTATGTAAGTCGCGAGTGCGCGCGCGCGCGCGCGCGCAGGCAAGGACGAGTAGCGAAAGGCGAACGGGTGGGCGACAATAATGCGGGTAGAAGATAGAGAGACCCCGGGGCCATCCCAGATCCCATAAAGTCGCGGCTGGCTGCAGTTTGGTCTCGTCGTGACGAAACTCGCGCGACATCACAGATAGACGTTGCCAACAACTCGGAAAGAGACGGCAGTTTCCATTCACGCTGTTCGAGATATTCGAGAACGATTCGCGATGTTTTTCTCATTATTGCGTAAAAGAGCGCACCTGACGACTTTTAATTCGGACGTTGCACATGTACACACACACACACACACACGTCGGGTAAATAGACATTTGGCACGAGTATTAAAATAACAATAACGTGACGCGGGTAATCGATCGCGCTGCGGGATAGGTAGTCTATAAGTTGAGAGAAGCCGCAGTTTTGCGTGAACGTACAGTTCTGCGTGATCGGTCGTGTTGCAATAAATCGGCACGATCGTTTATTTTAATCAAATCCACCGACAACCACCGACTTGGAAAGAAAGCGCATAAAACATTTTTGTTGCACGCGATGCCCCAACATCCGACGACTGATCCGTGTCTGCGACACGCTTTCGTTGCTAAACGAGGCTACCGATCGATTAAAACTCGTTTGCATAACGAGATCACAATTTTATTTCTGTCCGAGAGATCTAATTTCTTGCGATATACAAGCTATTAAATGTCAAATCAATGGGGTATGTCACATTCCAAATTGTACAAGTTTAGATCTGTGTACACGTGTATCTTAATGGTTTCTCATGCGCGTGATATATTCTCCCTTGTTATATTTTTTTAATTATTAATTAAACAATTTTTTGAATACAACACAATTAACAAAAATGTTCCGGTTTTTGTTGTAGCCCCGACCCGGTAGGAGACCCCGAAGACGACCGGGAAACGCAGCGCAGTTGCAGACAACAACTCCGAGGGCACAAAGTCCGATATCGCAGCATCTCGAAAAAGGTAAACAACAACATTTCTGTCACCGCCGAGAGTATCGCGAAACAATAATCTCCATTAGAATATCAGTTTTCATCAGAAGACACTTTTTTTTTTCATACTCTCTTCCTCGATTTATCCGAGATTTTTGTTCTTGCGGATGATAGTCCCGCTCGCCGCGCGAGCGGGAACTTCCCGGAACGGACTAAAGACTATAATCTCGAGTGGCGTGCCATTTGAAATTGAGATTTAATAGGAGCGCAAATGGAGCGAAACTCTCCCGGAAACGCGCGCGGGAGAGAAGCCTCGGTTGCCCGAAATTCATTAGTCGGTTCGCGGAATGTCTGCCCCGCTAATTTCGCTCCATGAAGCGAAGTGGTGGTGCAGGGGTATTCGCGCGCGCTGATGAATACAGTTTTAATCGTGTTCCGAAGGTAGCGAACTTTAGGGAAACCAGACTCTCGTTGAACGGAGTTGTAAGTTTCGCCGACTTCATCGATGGAATGAAACTTGGCGCCGCGCGATCGATAAAATTTATTCGGGGTTTTTTTTTTTTTTTCTTCAAGAAGTCGGCGAGTGTACTAGCAATCGGTCGGATCCCGAATGTGTTCGGGTTCGGCGCAATCGTCGACCGCACGGCCGTTAATCGTTATCGGATAAGTAAGTAAACGCTTATCTCGCCGCGGCGTACCGTTTTCGATCGCCAACTGGCGCGCGGTATTGCATGCCATTCTTGTTCGAGGGGATCGTTTCGCCGATCGATCGCGCGGCGCAATCTCGCGCGCAACAGACGACGAGAACGAAAGGGTTCCGATTTAACGACGCGATCTCCGTGCGTCTCGGGTATCATAATATGAGAGAGCGATAAAGCGCGCTTGGATATCGAGCTTGCCGCGACGTGCATCGCACATCGACGGGCGCTCGTAAACATCGGCAGGTCACGCGTAAATCGATTGTTACCGTGGTAAATAATGCGATTGAAATGATACTGAAAAACTCTATTAGAAAAAAAAGTATTACGCCTAATCATAAAACTTGAGTTATTATACGCCTTTCAAGTACAATATTACGGGATCGCGCAGGTCTCTGTATTGCGTAAGACCCAACAATTTACGAAAACGCGCGTCGCACAAAGTTGATATAAAGTACTGCGCGGGACACCCGTTACGTTAGGAAATGACATCGTCGATAAACCGCCACTTATCGGGGCAATAACTATAACTCCCCTATTCGTGTCTCGTGTACGGTCGCCAAAGCGGAAGCGGCTAGGCGGGTCGTGAGCTATCGCATAGCTACGTCGACCTAGTGTCCAGGTCTTCCGTATGGTCGATAAAGCGAGGTCAAACGGGGTCGTCGTTGCCGTTGCCGTCATCATCGTCGCCGTCGTCGTCGTCGTCGTGGATAGATGCGCGCCGAATCGACCCGCGCGCGAAGGTCAGATGAAGCAGCAGCTCGGTTGACTTCCCTCGTTTCCTCTCCCTCGCCTCCGAGCGATCTTCGGTCGCGTTCATTCATGGACTCGAGCGGCTGCCAGGAATCGGAGCGTTATTTCGAGAGCCGGGCCGATACACGCCGGCCGAAAAAAGGTGTAACACGATCGACGAAGGGTGGCGGGCGGAGAAAACGGGACGAAAAAAGGAACGACGCGGCGGCGGCTATTGGGAGAGAACGGGTTACACACCGACGAAGACGTGGTGGACGACAAGGTGGAAGCGGGACGAGAAGTATGTACGTGGTTGTATATAGCAAGGGAAATAAATGGTTTGAGAAACCGGGAGAAAACCGGTCCCGCGGACAAAAGACACGTTGCCGGCACCGCCTGAATCGCGCCGGAGCGATTCGAGAAACGCGAAGGGAGGAGAGAAGAAAGAATCGTATCGGGAGTTACGAGACGCGCGAGAGGACGAAAAGGGAAGGCTGAGTCAGACGGGAGAATAGGGTCCTGGTGATTCCGACGGGGAAAAGAGAGACCGGCAACCTTCTCGTCGGAGCTCTAAAAGCGCGATTCGCGCGATTTATAATTCGCAATGGAATTTTACAACTCGCGAGACGAGCAAAAAAAAAAAAACGTTTTTTATGTTTGTAAAAAAAAGTAGAAAATAAATAACGTTCCGTTTTTATAAAACGGATAATATTGTGTTGCGCGCGAAAAATTACCAGATAAAGTTTGAAGCCGTCGAAGCTCGAATAGAATTTAGAACAAGAAAAGAGAACAAGAATTTTCTCTTTTGTAGGTTTTTTTTAAAAACAGAAATATTTTATCAAACGCAAAGTTTTATTTTTCTTATTTATTTGTGAAATTGCCAACAGAATTTTTCTGTTTGAAAACGGGCATAAACAGGGCCGAAGAACGAGAATGGCGCGGTCTTTGTCCGCATTGAATTCGCTCTAATCCTCAAGAGGCCATTCTTTTATATATATATATACGTTACGTATATACATATATATGTATATATATATATATATATACATATATATATACACACACATAGCTTCGTCTCTTCAGATCCCTTTCGCCTTGCAAGTCTCCCCCTCGTCTATTTATCTTCCTTTCTCTCGTTCTCTGGGTTACTCGAGCTCTCATTACGAACGGCGTGATCGTTTCTTCTATTCTTCTTCTTGATTTGCCAAGATCCGATCTCTTTATTTTGATTGCCGTCACAGTTTCTTTGCATTTCCACCATATTAGTCACAAGTCTAAATTTGTTTGAGATATTTTTGGCGTAGAGCCTGGACGATCGAAGATTTTTATTAACGATAGGTTTTTGTCAACAAAATATGATACAACAGAAATGACACGATCGCGACACGTGTGTGTAAACAAGATCTAATCGCGGAAAGTTAGTTGTTTAACGATTATTCGATATAAAACGAATTAAGAGAACTCCAAAGATAGAAAATTATTTGTGCAAAGTTAATTGAGACGGAACGTTGCTATAGGTTTTACGGTTAACGTCACGTCATTTTAGTTCTGATTAAGAAATAATAAATTGTCGTCGATAAAATAATAATCAACACTATAGAATATTCAATTTGTGTGCTCGTAAATAACTCGGAAAATTTTGTCTGCCGCTGAAATTGTCGCGAAGCGAAGCTTTCGGAGATTATTTGGCGGTACGACTGTTCCTAATTTTACGGGTCCAAATGAAATTATCCGCCATTTGTTTCGAAAGATAACTTCGGATAAGTGCGGTTATCTCTTTGTCTCGTCGCAATTTAAGGAAAAACAACGTTCAAATTCTTCGAATAACTTTGAATCGAGTTCGTTGTGTTGACAAGTTTTGCTAACAATAAATCTATATTTCCAAATTATAAAATTGTTCAACGAGATCAATTAGTTTATCAAGAAACGCAATTTAGCACTGTGCTGCAGCAAAATCTGGAATGTAAATGTAGCTAAACCATCGTATCTCGATAATAAATGTTAAATCCATCCGTTTTCAGCTCAACGTTTGTTATCACAATCGCTTCACCACTAGTCAATTATTCAAGTTTATCGATTGCGTATATTCGCGTGCTAATTTAACTGCGCAAATTCCACGAAGGTCTTACTCGGTATAGAATTTACCGCAACACAGTAAATCAATTCAATATTAATCTGTTCGATTTTTTATTAGTCCGAGAATCTTAATCATATATTTTGTATATTTTTTATTATTTCTGAGTTTTCATCGTTGCACATTTAGCTATTTATTTGGACAAACTTATTTTCTATTTGACAAACTTTATTATATCTACTTGCGTGAATATTGTTGTAAAACAAAATAAATGCGTTGTGAGATATTTCATTTCATTTTATATACGATTTAAATATATTGCAAATTGCAAAACATTTTGAGAAACATAGCTAGAAAGTTGATATTCACGTGTGATTGTGTTCACACACAACTATGTCAAAAATGAAATGGTCTCGGGAAGATTCGGATTTCTTGATCTTTCGTTCCGCGAGTGCCAAACCGGAGGCACGTGTAACGCGGGGTGACCTCGTGGCAATAAAATAACGAGACCCCAACAGTTCTTTGAAGTGGCATTCGCGCGCGCGCGCGCGGTCGTCGGTACAGTTCCTTGCATCCCTGGTCAGGCATCCCTCTCCTCTTTCTCCTCGACGCTCCCGCGCGCGGTCGGGTCTTTTTTATTTTCACAGGGAGCTATATACGTCGCAAAAATAAACGACTGGCGTAAGCGCGTGTCGGGTGACACATTGCTGAAAATACAACCTCGAGCCGTTGCACCGCACCAACAGCGCTGATGTCTCACGGTAATTATGTCTGGAAAAATAAAAAGAACGGCGAAAAGGAGAGATGAACGTCCGTTTACGTCTATATTTGAAGAACCGAGTCGTGCGGGAGCTATATAGTTTTTTTTTTGTTTTTTTTTTTGCTCAAGATGCTGATAGTAATTTGTTAAATTTTTTCAATTATGTTGTCGCGAACATAATGCAATTCGATTCTCTTTATGCAAAAATAAGTTTTAAACTGAATTTACGATTGAGGTTAAAAGTTCGATACTACAAGTGAGAGACGATAATCGATTCGCTTTAAAACCCTGCTACATTTCTGGACCAAGAGAATCGAGCTATAGTTATAGATAATGTATGTCAATTATCTTCCGTAGTGTCGCGCGTGTATAATTACGACGAGGAGAGGAGTTGGCGAACACAAAATATCGCTCTCTCGAATTCGCATCGACTCCGGCACAAACTTTCCGAGATCGGGAATAATGATAACGCGCGCGACACATTTCCGCCATTTTATTATACGTGTAATTAGAATTTAATTAATCCCGCGTGTATCGAATGTTGCCGCTGCGCAACTTGTAATATCGAAATTACTGGGTCGTTAAATGTTGCGGGGGAACGTTGTTGCGAGTTTAACAATCGGAGCATCCGAAGCGAATGTGAATAATTCATTAGCAGGTTGAGAGATGGGGAGCGCAGAAAAGAGGGAGGGGAGAGGGAGAGACGTAGGAGGATTGTTGTCGTTCGTGAGATAAAGGCGGAGCGCGGTGAAAGCGTTACGTTGCAC